GCTAACCTCTGGATTCTATACTCGAAGACGACCATCATGATGAATAACATTGTCCATCGCAAAACAGATGTCTTAGAGAATCTATTGTTTACCAATACTCCATTTCATCTACTGAAAACCCGACTGTTAAAAAAAATTATATTGGTAGTACAAAAAAAACTTTTAAACAAAAGTGCATCCCTCTCTGAATATTTTGGCATTTAAAAGAAATCAATAAAAACCCCAATGTAAAATGGAAAATATTAAAACAAAAAAAACGATAATTTCAAGTACTTAAATGATCTGTCTCCAGTGTCCACATGAAAAGCTGCATATTAATAAGTTTCTGAATAATAATAATAATATTCTAAATCAGCGAAATGAATTAACTGTAATTTGTAGGCATTGTAAACCTGTGTTTCAACTTTAATATCGCCATGTTTTCTTGTCCATTCAATATAAGTATTGTATTTTAGGTTCAAGATAATATATATATATATATATATATATATATATATATATATATATATATATATATATATATATATATGATTTAATGAAACTAGAGGCCCTTTTTTAAGATAGTTCTCAAGTATTTAAAAAATTTAAATCTTGAAATTCTTTAAGATTAACTTTTTGTTAGATATATCCCTCTGTCTATTTCACTGTATCTTAAATTTATATTCGTAACCTGATGTCGTCTGAGTGGACATGCTTTAAAAGTGTCAATTCATCTAGACATGAATTAATAACCCACCTAAACTACAACCTAATTTTTCACGTTTCTATTTTTGCTTTGATCCGTCTTTTGATTGGTTAACCAAGACATATCCAAAAAATTTTTGTTCCCCCTCCCTTCTTTTCAACTCCCATATCGGCTACCGAATTGTTTTCTGATTTCACAAGTAAATCATTTTCATCATAAGTTAATCAATATTGCCTGATGATGGAACAATTTTTTAAGTTCCGAAACATAGAAATTTTTGTGTAGCGATGTAAAATATTTTATAATGATTTTATTATATATTATTGTAATATTTTGCTCTACAATATATTGAGCACTTTTAAAAAAAGTAAATGCTAAGAACAGTTGATATTTAGTGTGCCTGTTCTTTCTCTTTATTTGTGTATATATATATATATATATATATATATATATATATATATATAATCATTTATTCGAAAATTATAACATAAAATGTTATAGCCATTTTGTTTCAACACTTCTGGTGTCTTCTCAAGTGATGGTTTGAATGTAGAATTCTACATTCAACACCATCATTTGAAAAGACACCAGAAGTTTTGAAACAAAATGGCTATTTTTGTTGTTATTTTATAACATTTTTATGTTATAACTTTCGAATAAATGATTATATTTGCTCTACTCTGTATTGAGCACTCTTTTAAGAATAGTATATTTTGGTTATTGGAATTTATTCCGTATACACTAATCTTATACTTGGATATATATATATATATCTATATGTGTGTGTGTATGTTTGTGTGTGTGTATGTGTGTGTGTGTGCAATAATTTGTTGTTTTTAACATATAATTAGTGCTATCATTTACATGAGTTTTACATATAGAGAAATGCAATATGTGTATGAGATGCGTGGGTGTTGATTCTTATTTAATGTTGAATTTGTATAAGGGACACAGTGAGTTTCGAAATCACTCTCTCTCTCTCTTTCTCTTTCTCTTTCTCTCTCTCTCTCTCTCTCAGCTTGTCTTTTATTCGGCATAATTCTTTCTATTAAGCTTCTAAAACTGATATGACAGCTTCTATTCTGTAGGTGTCCTATTTTTTCATTTTGTTTTCCACTCTTTCATTCTTTCGTCGTTCAAAAGTAGATTCCTTATAATTAACGACCGTTTATACGTTTTTTTTTGGGGGGGGGTACAAGAAAATAAATATTTTAGTTTGATACATTTATTACCTGATAGAACTGTCCACATCAGATGAAAAAATTAGTCACTCATTATAAGGAATATTAATTTTGTTTTTCTGTATATTCGGACGTGAACACACATACACACGCACAGACATGTGTATGTATGTGGATGAACATATATATATATATATATATATATATATATATATATATATATATATATATATATATATATACTAGATGTAACTGCAAAATTGGCCAATTGTTAGATTAAGCTTTGAACCGTTGTATCTTAGAAATGATTAAAGATATCTTACTGGAATTCTCAGAGGTTTTTTTATAACACGATTGGACTCTACTTTGAACAATAAGAATGTATTTACCTCTAATTTGAAATGATGATCCCTCTTTCTGTTGTGACCTCCTAATCCTGGTTTCCTGTCTACTGTTCCGTCTTTTTAAAACTTATTCACCATTCTCTTGATGGTTCTTGAATGGATTTTGAAGATGGAAGCCAGAGTATAAATGTTGCTATCATTACTGAAGTTGCTCATTTGGGAAGACATAGTGAGTCTGATACAAAATGATTTTAACCTGTTCTCTTTCTTGGTGATAAACTCAAAGGGTTTTTCAGTGATTCTTAAGAAAAATGGTGTCAAGATGTCTAAACGTCTTATCTAAAAGAGACTCAATTAGTTTAGTGGGGTTTTTTTTTTAGATATTAAATATTTTGTGGGATGGATTACCCCATGATGTTACACGACTTGGACAGTTTTGCTGTTACACCAGATACACAGTGATCCCCCGCCTATTCGCGTTTCTGTATTTGCGGCTTCACACATTCGCGGATTTTTCTTTAGAACATGTTCGTTTATTCGTGGAAACCCCGAATATTCGCGTGTTTTTTTCTGAAGAACATATGTACAAATTATTCGTTGAGAACTCCCTCGATTCGCACTTTTTTTTTTTTTTTTGATAGAACATATTTAAAATATTCTTGCATTATTTTCCAGTTATTTAATTGACTTAAAACATATAACAGTTCATTTTTATGGTAAAAAAATTACAGAATTGTGCATCTTCATTGTAAAAAAACAAACGCAGAAACATGCGTAGTACTTGGGCTCTATTCTCTGTTAGGGGCTGCGGCTGGAGTCTTAAAAGTGGCTTATGCTAAGTCTGGGGGAGGCATCATTACAATTCTGTTTTTAGAAAATGTTTTAAACTTTATATTTTATGTCTTAAAATAATTGTCGGACTTTGTCCATTTCATAATGTGTGACGTCATTTGTTTACATTTGATACGCCATGAGCAGATATGAATGTACGTGAGAGACTCATGGAAGATTGAAGTTTAAATACAGTAAATTCGACCTTGCTAACCGAACGCGCCTCTTTGGCCAAATCGGTAAAGGCACGTCAAGCTAAATGACGGTTCCGTATAGAATACAGGTTCGAATCCTGTCGGAGGACGAATATTTTCTATGAAAATTTCTCGGACATTCAGGCCGGTAAATGTTGTTTAATACTGTTTATTATAAACAGAGCATTTACTTAAATATTTGTATCTATAAAAAAGAATGTATAAACATAAAAATGTCTCAAAATAATTGTCGGATTTTATCTCTTGTTACTTTATACAATATTTTCAATGGCTGTATCTATGCGTAACTAAAAACGGTTATTGTACGTATGAAAGAAAATTTACGCTATGGTCACAAATACTATTTTTCAAAAGGGTCTGAAATGTTTATAAGGGTTTAGGATGGAAGTTTAAGACATAATGTGTTTTAACAATTAAAATAGGTACTTATAAGCATTTTTAGGTGGGGTTACAAGTATTCGCGGATTCTAACTATTCGCGAAAACGTTGGACTCACTGTATATATATAGAAAGAATAAGAAATTGAAAAAATTGAAAATATATATATATATATATATATATATATATATATATATATATATATATATATATAAAGCATAAAATATTTTTATATATATATACAAAGCATAATATTTTTAAATCCATATTACAACCAAAAACCTTTGCGGTTTCTCTCTTCTTTTTATATATATATATATATATATATATATATATATATATATATATATATATAATTATTTATTTAAAAATATGATTCCAAATCGCTACATAAGAGGTCTCATGTTTCAAAACAAGAGCCGAAAACTTCAATATAATCCTTTAAATTAAATTGAGTTTAAATTAAAATGGGCTCCGTTCCATCTTCAAGCGACGTGCTATATATATGAGATAAAGTGCTCAATATCAGAGATAGAGCGTGTGTAAATATAGAAGTGAACATATACGTCAACACGTAGAGGCGACAGTCTGTTTCATGCTAGATGCAATCGTCAGGCCTGACGATTGCATCTAGCATGAAACAGACTGTAGCCTCTAAGTGTTGACTTCTATGTAGGATTTTATTATATATATATATATATATATATATATATATATATATATATATACCGTCGGCTTTCTTGACTCGAACCACTTTCCAAAGGTTAAATTTCAACTGTTTCAGCAAGTTCGAATTAATATCAAAGTATCACCACATAACTGTTCTTGCAAGACAGATTTCATTTTGTTACAACTCCCTACTTGTTCTTTAGCCAGATCCAACAACATTCGCGGTTCATCGATCAATTTGGTTTTTTTTTTATGGATTATCAAGCTTTTGCAGGTTATTTAAAGCCAGGAAATATATTTGGATTGTAAGAATCTTTTAGAGATAATAAAGATTTTCTAACAGAAGTTGTAATAATTAACGAACAGCGAGAAGGAGCAGAGGTCGCTTCATAACTTTTCGAATGGTATTTGAGAGAAAATAAATATAATGAAGCCGACTGGAATTGGAACTCGGTTCTCCAGATTCCAAACCTGGGCCATTATTCATTACAACACCAACATCCAAGATTAAAGTAACTTTTTCATCGTGATATGGTAGTAAGTCTTACCAACCGCACATCCAAGCTTGTAGCACGAGGTATTTTAAACAGGTCACTCATCTTAGTACTGGCCAGACTTGACGTTCCTTAAGTCTAATGTAAGAGAAAGCAGTATTTCAACATGAGATGGCTGTAGCTTTACCACCAGCTCATCCAAGCTTACAGCACCTGGTATTCCCAAACTGTCACCCATCTATATACTAACCAGACTCGAGGTTGCTTAACGTCGGTGATCGTACGTAAAGCTGTGTTTCAACGTGATATGGCCGTAAGCTTTACCAGACACTCATCCAGGCTTGCAGCACCTGGTATTAATAGACTGTCACCCATCTAAGTACTGACCAGACTCAAGGTTGCTTAACTTCGGTGATCATACATAAACCTGTGTTTCAACGTGATATGACCGTAAGATTTACCAGACGCTCATCCATGCTTGGATCACCTGGTATTCGTAGACTGTCACCCATCTAAGTACTGACCAAACTCGAAGTTGCTTAACTTCGGTGATCGTACGAAAACCGGTGTTTCAACGTTTCCGTTATGCCACTTGGAATTATTTCTAAATAGCAGCATTCAAGAAAGTAACACAATGAAGATGAGAAAAAAAAAGGGGGGGGGGCATATCAAAACAAGAAACGGAAAACTTGTTTCGTTTTTCGTTTTATTCATTGCTACTTTTGAACGGAATACAAATGTCCATTGGTATGGATGTTTCAATGCCTCCTATACAAATGCAAGTAGACGGTATTAAAGGAAAGCGAGAAGAAAGGACTAAACATCAACTGCAAGTGGACAGAAATTATGGTTGTCAGCAAAAGGGACAGTTCAACATCCAAATTACAAATTGGAGATACTAAAATCAAAACAGGTACAACAATTTAAATATCTGGGAAATTTATTAACAGCGGACGGAAAGCGCAACACCAAAATCCGAAGACGCATTCAAATAGAGAAAGTTGCCTTCTCAAATCTAAGTAATATATTAAGAAACAGGAAAATCTCGTTGCAAACAAAAAAAAAGAGTACTGAGTTTTTATGTAATATCAGTGCTCCTATATGGCAGCTAATGCTGGACAATCTCCTCACAGATGAAGAAGAGACCTGCAGTAACAGAAATGTGGTTCTACAGAAGGATGCTGAGAATATCATAGACTGAACATGTAAGCAAAGACGAAGTTTTAGTGAAAGTGTAAACAACACATACTTACCATCAGAAAGAGACAGTTAAAATTTCTAGGGCATATAATGAGGAAAAAAGGCTTAGAAAATTTGAGACTCGCGTGATATTGAATCACATGAAAACATCGTATAACCTATCTAACAAGCTTATGCAAATGGATCACAGAACAGGGTTTAGGAAAGATAGCAAAAAACCCAAAATTTTCTAAGACATACAAAGGACAGGAAATTGGGGAGCATCGGGAACGACAGCATCCTGAAGGGATACAGTACACAGAAAGAGGATTGTAGCGAATGGAAAAAGGTCTCTACGAAAGCAAATGAAACGAGTTTAAAATTTACAAATAACTTTGAGAATTGACATTTTGGGGACAGTGGTAAAACGTCATTGAATTTTAAGCGTATGTACATAGAAAAAAAAAGTAGCAAATACGGATACAGGAAGCTTTATCACTGATGTTTATTCTTGATGTTGTTGAGGGTTTTGGGTCTCTAAATATATCAGACTCTTTTCCCAGAGGTCCCAATTAAGGGCGATCATTTTCTAGCCATTTTCAGGTTCATGCTAAATTAATGTTCATTTTCAGGTTCATGCTAAATTAATGTTTCTCAACCATTTTAAGCAACGGCACACATAGGAGCAAATGAAAATATCTCTGCAAAGTTTTAAAGAGAATACTTTTAAATGTTATGAAATAAAACCATAGACTTTTTAAAAAATACAAACAGAAATATAAATATAAAGTAATGTTTCTCTCTCTATTTCTGAGATGAAGTATTGTAACTATTTACACTATTTACAATTTTCAAGCTGGTGTCCTTATCTTTGTTGTCATATTCACCTTCAACATCTTTCTCTACTTCTGAGATGAAGTATTGTAATTATTTACACTATTTACATTGTTTGGACTGTTGTCCTCATCTTTGTTGCCATATTCACCTTCAACATCTGTCTCTATTTCTGAGATGAGGTATTGTAATTATTTACACTATTTACAATTTTCAAGCTGTTGCCCTCATCTTTGTTGTCATATTAAAAAAAACTTGAAGATTTGAGTAAAAGGGAAATAACTGAATCTGAGATATCAGGAAGAGGCATGGGATGTGGAACTAGAACAATCTACTCTATATATATTATTTATATATATTTTACATAGAACTAAAGTGTCGCTGACAATACTTAAGCCTGAACATAGATCGCCAGTGGAACACCCTTCAGGTTCCATGCTTTAATCTGCAAAAATTTAAATGCAATGTCAATCACTATCTACTCTCCTCATGATTACTCTTTCCTCTTCCCGCTCATTGTTAATGTTTGTTCCTAATTCTTCCACACCCAGGAACCTCTTGCGTCTTAGTGGCTTTACTGCCTTGTATGGAGTGAAACCGATTAAAAAACACCTTGTGATGTTATTTACCTGATTTATATGTATTCGCTATTTATATTTATTTGCTGTGATGTTTTAAAGAGTGTTTCGTGCTATTCACAAATCTCTGAACATCTCATATAACATTTTCTTTTTCGGATACCTAAAGCAGGCAATCTTTTACATGCAAATATATCACTACACTAATTGCAATAGAGAAAACATTCTTTATTCGCCTGCAGTATTGTTTTCTAAATTAACCTGACGGCAAGCCGCTGCACAGTTGAATCACCCATGGCGTCGGGTTGTCACACAAGAAACTCAAGAGATTATTCTTTATTTCTTTTGCTATTAGCAGCGAAGTTAATATATCTAAGAGCGTAATTTCTAGGATACTGAATCATGATGGTAGAGGCTCCTTTTAGACACGGATAACACAAGAGCAACGTTGTTAAGAAAAAAAACAACTCCATTAAACAATTCAAAGGCTCTCTATTATGGATCAGTTTAACAGAGCAACTTCTTTTATGTGACGTGTTCAATGATGGTCTCTCCTTTGAACCATGACAGGGAATATATATTCTGTATTAGGTTTTCTCAAGTGTACAAGACGATAGAGGTAATACACACCGTTTAAAAAACGTGGTGTCCATTTAGATACATGTATCCATTAACAATAACACGCACATAGATAGATAGATAGATAGATAGATAGATAGATAGATAGATAGATAGATAATTTATTCGAAAATTATAACATAAATATGTTATAAAATTACTACAAAAATAGCCATTTTGTTTTAACAATTCTGGTGTCTTCTCAGGTGATGAACACCATTACTTGATAAGACACCAGAAATATTGAAACAAAATGGCTATTTTTGTAGCGATTTTATAACATTTTTATGTTATAATTTTCGAATAAATTATATTTGCTCTACTCTGTATTCAACACTCTTTTAAGAATAGTATTTTTTGGTTATTGGAATTTATTCCGTATACAACAATCTTGTACTTGTATATATATATATATATGAATATATGTGTATGTATGTGTGTGTGTGGATGGCGATATATATATATATATATATATATATATATATATATATCGTCATCCACACACAGACTGTTTCGCTGTATCACAGCTCCTCAGTGTGTCTAGACATCCGATCGCTTCAAGCCGCGACCAACCGATTTGGTATCAGTGGGAGATTCTAACCCCAAGGCAATCGACACCCGGCAGAGAGATAGGCGAATTTTTGCGTATTTATTTTTTTCATAAACACACCAGTGACCGAGAGGACTCAATCCGTTAAGAGAGTCTTATATATATATGTGTGTGTGTGTGTGTGTATGTGTGTGTGTGTGTGTGTGTGTGTGTGTGTATTTTGGCAGAATGCCTTTATTGAGGGATGTGTTGTTAAAGTTTATATGTCCGTTTCAAGAGTGTTTCTCACATAATAACCCTAGCGCATACATCAAACACACAACCACAACTCTCTCACGTCGGGCTTACATAACATCTTAATGACACCAGCGCCATAAAAAAATCACCTTATAACAACACACTGTACCACTAGTAACAGATTCAAATCCTTCGAAATAAGAAAAATCCTAATAAAAAATACCAAAATCCTCTACAAAAACAAATGCAAAAAACGCTTACAAATTCTTGAAGCCATCACAGTTAAAAATCAAAAAGCACAACATAAATAAAATAGCAATTAATACTGGCAGAAACATCATAAACATATTTAATAACTAATCCTTCAAATAATAAATACCAACCCCTCCCAATTGCTAATGAATTAATCCAACAACACTGCCTAAATACCCCAAATATTATCTAAGATAAATCTAAAATAATAAGCAACCTGCTTTAAACCAAAACATACAGCCATGATGACGGTTCATGATAATCGAAAGCGCTCGGCAAAACACTAAGGTCTAGGGTTTTTTTCAACAACTTAGACCCAAGTATTAAGAATAATTGCGAGAAAGCAAGAAAAAAAAACAGAAAACAGATTATTTAACATAAAAAGTCCGTAGTCTTTAACAATACACGTCTCAATATATATAGAACACATGTACACATCAAGTGCTCTAGACCAGCTGAGCGTCATGCTTCAAAAAAGTTTCGGCCCATTAAGCTTAGTAGCTCTTCACACTGTAGGTCCACAACAGCTGGATGATGTTACATTGCAACCGGTCTATGTTGTTAGTTGGACGCCACTCGATACGAATTTCCGGGTAATCCATGCACTGCCTTCCACTGCTTTCTTGCCACAGATCTTTATTACTTTATTCAGCTTTTTGGATACCAGCACACTTGAGGAATCTCTTTAAGGAATCAGCTGGAAATCCTCTACAGCCAATCTCAAACGTCACCAGGGTGCAGCCGTATCCCCTCTCACGGAACTCATCCACCAGTTCCTCATACCGAAGCAGCTTTCTTTCATGAGCCTCTTCAATCTCCTTCCTCCTCTGCCACTGTCAGTTCGCCAAACCACAGATGTTTCTTCTCGCTATCAATCAACACTAGATCTGGCCTCAGTCCAGACACAAAAACCATCCCTGGCAGTGTAGCATAAAATCAACACTGTCCACTTCCCCTGATCTGGTCTTCTGCCTTGTGTCAGTCACACCTTCTTTCAGGAAAGAAATCATTCGCAGGTCCGACAAAGGTATATTAGCACTTCTCGAAGCTGCTACCACAACCTGCAAACCAGGTTATGTCTAAAAGTGTACAAGCCATTCTGTAGCGTCTTCGGGCAGGATGACAGTGTGTGGTACAGGTTTCCGTATGCACCACACAACAGTGACTCCTGAATTCCCCATCTGCTCAAATTCACCGGTGATGCTG